AAAAAAAAAAAAAAAAAAAAAAAAATTGTTAAGAATATTGAAGCTAAAAAGAAAAAAGAAAATACATAAAGTATGGGTTTATACTTGAAATTGGTTTAGAAGAAAAGATGCCCACAAATCAAAATATTGAAATAGGAAATAGATTTGTGATTCCATCCCTTATAATTCTTACTCAATTTCAATTTTTTTTTTTTTCTTTTCCTTACCTGAGTCAGTCGGAAGGGCACTAGTTCTGGCTTCTCCAACTGCAGGCCTTTGTCAAACAAGCAACTAAAATCAACATGGACACAATCTCCCGTGGTAGAGTCGAAAAGGATGTTTTCACCGTGCCGATCCCCGAGGCCAACAATGTGCCCAACCATTGACCAAACTGCAGTAGTATGGGCATAGGCAATTCGAGCTCTAAACCACATAGCTGGCTCCGAGAATGTGTTTAAAAACCACTTGTGGAAAGCTGGAGGGAACATCGGCAGAATTTTGGTCTTTAGCATCTCTTCTTCTGGCATCTTATCATGTGACGATTGATCATAAATACGCTTAATTTGAGGATTTGTTTTCTGCCTATCAAACTTCCCACAGCTTATATAGATATCCTGGAGAATATGCCGGAGCCCACGAGTATGAGGCACCCACTCAACCATGCCACAGTCTTCTGTCAATGGGATCACCGCAAATGTACGGATGTAGAGCTTCCGTCGTCTACTTTCAGGGCTTTTTGAAAGTAAACGGTTTATCATTGCATTGAACTCCATCATTCGTGCATCTTTTCGCAGGTCATCCTTTGGTTTGCAAAGAAATGGGCGCTCAGATCCATCACTGCCAATGAGAATGATCTGCACATAACATATTAGGCATTAACAGCAAATGTATGAGTAGGAATCACACGTTATTTTAGGAACACTGGAAAGAAATTCATAGAAACCAGTCAATGATAAAGTTCCACTTAGTCATCACCATAATGGTATTTGATTGTGTAGCCTAAACCAAACTACCTCGTCTCATTCATAGGGAAAAGAGGAGCAGAAATGATAAAAATTTTGAGTTCCAGTCTCAAGACAATAGTTAGATTGTGGTAATTAATTAAACAAGCCCACTAAGTAAGGGAAGCAAAAAGAAAAATTAAACGACATTAAAAATCTGTAAACTAAATTCAGAAACACAATTGAACACATTCTTTTTGCCACAATGAAATTGCTATGATGGTGAACAGAGAGAAAACACAAAACAGAAAAAGATAGGATAGAGAGAATAATATCAAAGAGAAAACATATGCGGTCTTACTTTCTTTGGGCGCTGAAGTGATGAAAGAATCTCGGCCTCATCGGCTATTCCTGATATTGTTGGCAGATCCAAATGAGAAAAGAGATCAGAGGTACCAGAATCTGTTAACTTCACATCACATGATGGTAAATTCACAGTGAGAGCCTCCTGGGTTGGCATTATAATGTCCACCGGCATCATCCTCTTCAGAGAACTAAACTCCGTCAAAAGATTGATTGTTCTAGTCTTTGATTGGCCGGGATGGAAGCATAACCTAATCAGATGATCCACTAGTGCAGCAAACTGCACAAACATAGGGTTGGGACCTCCTTGGCTTGATCCTCTTTTAGCAGCTTGTATGATCTCAGCAGCAGCGTCCCTTCTTGAAGGGACCGTTGATTTTGTGACAGCTGCCATGGTCCAGAGTGCTTGTTGAGGATACTGCTGAAGGACAGAAGTGATTATGTGTTTCACCAAGCGGACAGTTTCTTCATTTTGGTGGCAAATCCTCGAGACCAGTTGAGGTAAAACAGCCAACCATTGGTACGTCGGCAAGTCCTTCAAACATCCTCTCATGATGCTCATTATCTAAACAAGAGAAAGTAAGAACTTCAGTTGAACTGATGAAATGGATCGTTAAGAAACAACATTTCCTGGTCCTTAATGCTCAACCCCCATCCTACACTACCCCCACACCACCACCAAAAAAAAGGGAAGGGACAAGGTAACAGTAATAAAGTACCAGAGTTATACATACCCCGAAGCGAAGGTGCAAATTGTAATGTAGGGAAAAAAAATATCAAGGAATATTTCTATCCTCAGAACACCACGATTTTCAGGTATTATATGTATTTAACAATTCATGAAATTAATACCTTTGTATGTACATTCTTCATACTGGACTGTATATTACTTCGGTGATAAACATTCCCGAAGTCGAACCACAAAGTTAACAACCTTGGCAGTGCTTGGAAAAGATTCTTGTGGCCTCTGTGAAGCCCTTTTGCATAAAACAAGAGCACGTCTGGAAGGTAAGCCCACCATCTTCGTTCAGAATTCCCTTTCGTAGAAGGTGCAAGCGATAAATTAGACGCCATCACTCTCCCAGGCTGCTCTGTACTGTCTTCTTGGCGTTTTCGAGCATCAACAAGTACCTCATCACAATATTTTGCCATATAAAAATATCCTTTTTCCCATTTTGGCTGCATTTCCTTCACCCGGGAATATAAATTTATCACATCTTCTTTCTGCTTTTGGCCAGTGTAATGAATCCACCTTGAGTACAAGAGAAGGGTCTTCGCAACATCCCGATTCTCATTCAAAGACTGAATATCAGAGAGCAAAGGTGCAGGATTAATAGGAACCACATATAAGCTGGTCATTGATGAAATAGCAGCAGAGCCAATAACCTCAACGGGCATGTTGAGAAGTGACTGCTGCAGCTCGGCAATGGCGCCATCCGCCCTTCTTGTGCTCCAGAGAAGCTTAGCCTTCTCAATGTGAACGTTGCATGCCCCGGAGGCCTTTGCTTCCAAAATTGCTCGATTAGCAGTTTCATAATGACCGGCTGAACGACAGAGCTTTGCGTACTGTATCCAACAGTTACCGAGTTCAGCGCCAAGATCACTGGCGCGAAAAACAAGACTCCGGAAGGCCAGGAGTGGTTCCCTTGCCCATAGAGACGGTTGGGTAAGTTTGAGGCGGCTTTCCCAGTTTTCCAATGTTCTTTTGAATTCTGGTTCATTCAGTTGGAAACTCTTTCCCAAGAAAGACTCGCCATTAAGAAGAGAATTAAAATCCTCAAGTTCCCGAAGCAAGTGAAGCTTTACTACAAATGGGTAGGCTCGTGCATAAGAATCCATCCCAGCAGCAGCAAGTGGAGCAATTAGAGCTTGTTTAGACAAAGCAATTTTCTCAGCAACAGAAAATTGATCCTTTTTCATCATTGCCTGAAGAATCTTGGCGACATCCTTATCAAACAGAGCATTACTATCACAGCTGCTACAGAGTACACCTTCTTCATCAGCCCCAGTCAAATATTCATCCATCAAGTCCCACCTCCCAAGCCTCCAGGCAGCTTGAACCCCTTGGGTGCACCATGTTTTCCTATACTGTGGAATCCTAGAATTTAGTCCATCTACATGAGTTGCCATGGCCTGTAAATGACACATGTTTAGCAAGCAATTAAGGACATCAGAGTGCCACTGAACAGAAAAAGGTTCCATCTGGAGAGCCTGCTCGCTAGAAGTCAAAACTTCAGCCCAGTTTCCTGCCTTTTTATTAATCAAGATATGATCCTGTAAGCTTTTTGATTTACGAAGAGATGCCAGACCAGATAATCCATCTGGCTCATCCAATCCACTATACACCTCCATTAAAAAGGATATGTCTTCATCCTCAAAGACACCGCTCTTTTCAGAAGCAGGATTGAAAGCTCCAGACTTGGCGCGCACATAAGACTCAAAGTATAATAAAGACCTGGCATAGGCCTGACATCTGAATGAGGCCTTAGCAAGAGTAACTTTAGGAATTGCACCCAGAAGTTCTGCCACGTATGTGCATTGTACAAGAACCTGGTTTGAATCCTTTGAAACGTTCATATTTTGGTCCTTCAACTTGTTGGCTAGTTGCTTAGGGTTGCACGATTGAAGTGGCTGGGAAAGGGCGAGTTCTTGTTTAACATCATCCACCCATTGGCCTAGATTATCGAGAAGAGTGAATATAGCTTGAATGCACACCTCACTTTTCCCTGAATTGCTACCCTGAACAGCAAGTGCACTACTATCTGAAGCGGCCGCATTAAGAACTGACAAAATTTCCTCTGTTATGCCACTGCGTGCATCCTCAGTACCATCACACACAGCATTTAGTACAAGGTATGGTAGAAGATACATGGCCACATGCATATCATGACGTACTATACCTCGACAAGCATTAAAAATTGCAGACCGCGAACCTGTGGCATGTGCCGTTAATTTTTTAATCCAAAAATATATCCATCTTCGTAGCGACATGGAAGGGCGGTATATAGGACCACAAGCAGCAGAATCAGACATGTTAGGAAGTTGGAAACGTGATGTTAAGCAAGGGGCTATTATCTCTTTAATATAATTTGAGAACCTGTCCCACAACCTCTGCCCCCTACCAGACATTGCAGGGTAGTCGTTTGACAATTTGCCCACCTTCGTGTTTTTTGTCCGTTCTAGAACATTCTCATCAAGTGACGCCTCACATCCTGCAATTTTTAGTAGCTCCTGAATAGCCAAGGCAGCTGAATCTTGGATAATAGTATCAGGTGCAGATCTGAAAGCTCTAGCTAGATGTTTATGTATCAACTCAAAAATTAAATCATCGTCGGAACATGCTATTTTAAACCTTGTGCTGGGATTAACCTTGATTTTCGCAGGATCGATAGCACCAATTGCACCCAGGCAATCTGCACATATCAGCTTTAAGCGCTGTCCAACTGAAGTCCTTGATTCTTCCGCACAGCCTTTAAAAAGTGATGTTATTAAGGAGCTCACTACATCCATGACTGAATCCGCTTCCTTGGTGAACAAAGCCATGAACTCTTCCCTCTTTAAGTTCAACAGCTTGCTTAGCTCGGATGCCACCATGTACCTTACATTCAAATTTTCATGATTTAGTCCCTCCACAACATCATGTAATTGATCTTTCAAGGTCATGGATCCACGTGCTTCTTGAATGACCTTGTTCACTCTTGTCAGGGCAGGAACGTTGGGTACAGTTGGGAACTCACGGATATGTTGCTTTAGAACAACCTTATTCTGAACCACAAGTTCTTCCAATATCTCAACAATTTTAATCATAATGGGAGATGTCTTTCCTGTCTCTTTCTCCAGGAATGGGACAAGAGCCGCAAAAACTTGAGAAACAACATGCTTGGTGCTAGATGGAGATACAACTGCTAATTGCTTTAAGAAAAAATGCAATACCGAGAGACCCTCACCCTGAAGCCATTCCTTATTGATAGAATGCATGAGAAGAACCATGATTTTCGGTACATATGTGCTAAGATGTGAGCCCATCAAATTAATCAGCATTTCTATGCGTTGAATGGCTTGTTTCTGCAGACACATGTCCTCCACGTGAAGCATTTTTCTGTCAATGCTGTTCAGCAAGCCAACAACATGGTTCCTTAGAAATCCTGGAAGATCTTCACTGTCAGTCAAAATTCGTGCAACTTCTTTTATCATGCGAGGTACCTTGGCTAGCCTGTAAGAACATTGTTTAGTCAGGATCCACAATTTACTTTTAAGTAAAAGAAACAATGCATAAAATTCGTAATACATCATAAAAAAAAGTATGAAAGAATATGGGGTCCCACAAGGCAATGGAAAGGCCACATAAGTAAACCTCATGCCAGATCTTCAAAAACATGTTTACAACAACTGCATTGAACAAGAAAAGGAAATATCTGTTCTCGCCAAGAATGAATTTTTTCTTTCATAAACCCAAACAAAATACCTTCAAAAATGAGAGATTTCCATGGAGTACCTTTTACTTATTTCTTCAGAATCTTTGACATCGCTGAAGCAAATAAGCTCCTCCAAAAGTGCAGGTAAAGCAGCTGCGAAAATTTCTTGATTGTCAGATTCAGTATGCTCGTGGTAGAATTGCAAAGCAGAATTTAATTTCTGTCCATCAGCTTGATGAAGAGCGAAGGCCAGTACTTTAGGCAGCCAATTAACAATCAGTTGCACCATGTCAGACTTTGAATAACGGGACAACACGTATAAAGTTGCTAGAGCTTGATCGTTATCATGCTTGAGTACCACAAGCCTCGGAAGAACAACAGGAATCATTCGTTTGACAAGTTCTTCAGTTTCAACGCCAAGAACTGCTGCTGAAAATTCTTCAACCATTTTCGGCTGATTCGTAAGCCTCATGCAGAGATAATCATACAATTCATTTTGGATGTGAAGAACTTTTGAAAGAAGTGCTTCAAGCCCCCCTGTATGGTGCAAGCAGCATGATCTCTTTATCAACTTTGAAGCAATCAACCTCACAGTAACATAAGGGTTGTCAAGCTGATCGATCAATAAAATAAGAGAGAACAAAAAGAATTGACTATGAACATCAACAGCTTGCATAATTGATGCCGCAGTTTCTAGAAGAGTTTCAAAAACCAGAGGATCCTCAGCAGCTGCCAAAGCATGTTTTATTTTGTCCATGAACCTCTGTTCCTTAGATTTATTTATATCATCATTGCAAGGAAACAAGCAGTCCAAAATAGGCTCCTTGAGAAAGATAACAACTTCCGACACAAATGCCTGTCTAACGTTTTTGCTCCGGTGAAGGAGTAAAAGATCAACACATTGCACCCACTGAGATCTTGTCTCAAGCAAAACATCTTTAGGTCCATGCATAAGGATACGCGCAATCATTTTTACACATGCAACTTGAACTTCTTCTGATGACTCGTCATGGAGGAGCTCAAGAAAGAGAGACTGCAAATAGGTATAATTGCAATCCAAATGAAAATGTTCTTCATGCATGTTGGGCAAAGTAACATTCAGACATGGCCCATAATTGACTGGAGTACTGCAGTCACAAATTGAGCACCAAAATCCTTGCAACAGATGATCCCTTGGTATGTCATCTTTCTCTTTGTCTTTCCTCAAGTACAATTTACATTCAGCTTCCAAATGCGCAGCAACATCATTGCAATGTAGGCATGCCAGATAACCAAGACTGAGAGAAATTGTTTTCTTGACTTGCTCACTTTTCTCTTTCTTTAGGATCCTGCATGTGAAAAAATTAAGGGATTATAAAGACTTCGTTTCAATGCTAAGAAGCAAGCGTGACTTCCACCTAAGCAGTCACTGCAGAACGTTAATGATAAAATCGCTGCAGTTCTTATAATAAGAATGAGCTAATAACAATTCATTTCTGTAAGCTCAATCCGGCTGACAATAACTAGATACTACTAAATAAGAGTGCAAAGTGTGGTTATAATTGACAGGGATGAACGGGTGATTAAAGGCTCTAAATGGGATACAGCCTAAACATATGATGCAGAAGCACAATGGTGCAGTGCATTCATAAATATATAGATGCTACGCCTTGCAGAATATTGTTCTTGTAGGAAGATTGTATTAAACGAAAGATGGGCTAATTGATTAATTTATAGTGCATGCTTGCACATTCATAAATTCCTCCATCACTCACTCTAGTCTGCCAAACATATGCCGTAAAAGAGGAGAGCCAGAAAATAGGACAATCACTGGCATAGACATGATAGCTTCTGCTCTAACTTCTTCATCATCATCATGAAGGCCCAAATCCAGAATATCAAGATCCACACTATGCTGTGCTGTACATCCAAGCCTGGAAAGAATGCGAATTGAGAGACATTTTGCCTTCCAAGAAGGATGGGATTCTATTACTGCATGATTGCAGTTCCATGGAAGCCTTAACACTGGTCGCAACAAATCTTCAATATCACAAGTACTTTCAAAGATCGTTAGCTTGCTTTCTCTAGGTAGGGATCCTAAGATGAAACAAAGACGGATGAGTAAAACATAAGATATGGGAATTTCCAGAGAGGTGTCAGACATAAGAAGAAACAATATTTTCAGGAATATAGCACATGAAGTTTGGTTGATCAGGATATAAGGTGGAGATGGGGCAGACGACTGATCATTATGTTGAGTATTCATCATCATAATTAAGCATCTAGATTCAATAATTTTTAACAAAGCATAATTTTTGTATAGGAATAAGAGGGTTGGCCGGTTGGGGCATGAAACAAGAATTAACAACTACACATATAGACATAATGCAGTTATATATGAATGTTAGGCTCACGAAACAGTTCCATTTACCTTGCAAAAATAGTAAGCCATCAACTGCTGCTAAGAAAATTGATAGACCAGGAGGAATAGGAAGTCCCTGCTCCACCTACAAGAGTTATTCAACATTACATATGCCATAATCAAGATTACTAGGAAAATTAAACAAAGAAAATAAAACTGCACCTGATCAAACATCCAAGAAATCCACTTGCACATTTGCCGAAACACACAATGAGAAAGGTTGGCTTGAGGGTATTCTGTAAACACAATACAGAGTGTGCAAATAGCTCTCAAGGAAATTTCCACTTCCAATGAATTAGAGCTCTCATCAGGAGGCTTTAGAAATTCTACTAACAGATTCAATGAGGCACACATATAATCAGCATATTCTTCATCTTCAACTCCAGCAAAACTGCTGATAAACTTGCCTACATCCTGACATGAATCACCAGAATTGATATCTGTTTTTTGGCGCTTCGATTCTGAAGTTTCTATATTCGGAATGGGTCTTTTGGACCCAACTTTAGAGCTCTCATGTTCATTTACCCTTGATGCATTATGACTATCACCAGATATTGTCCTTCCAATCAGACTAGAACCAAGGGTTTCAACAGCAGCTTTGAAGCAGTCTATTAAATGAAAATTGGGCTTGGGTGAGCAAAGCATAGAAATTAGACATTCTGGCCTCCAGGTATAGAGAGGACATACTTTTGCAATTCGAATATATGCGCTGCACAGGCCAGCCTGAAACTTGGAGAAGCTAGAATAGTAAATTGCATCCAGAAATTTAGAATCAACAAATTCACCGACTAAAGCTTCTTAAATGCAAGACTAGATACACAACCACTTATGTATCAATATAGCTACAATGCACAAATACAAGACAAGTTGTACATGAATGGAAACATGTTGCTTATGTATATTCACCTCAATAGGCATCCATTCATGGTGCACAAGTGAAATAGAACGAGATGACAGTTTAAATGAAATGCACAATTAACCTTGAGTTCCAAGCTCTTCGTCTTCAGCATCGAGTCAGGAAAGATGCGTACAATATCAGCTGCCGTTGACCTCACAACATCATCAGAACAACCAGAATGCAAGGACTGAAGACATCCGCCCAGAGAAGAATCATAAGCTGCATCTCTGACAATCAAATTTTATTTATTCTGTGAGATAATAACCTACAAAGGATAGACTCAGCAGACAAAAAAAGTAATAGTGCATATAAGTTAAAACACAAGAGCTGGGTATCTGAAAGATACGGTTAAGGCCAGGTTCCACAACCGAAAAGAAAGAGAATATCACATGTGATACCTCATAATTTAAACCTTGGTTTCAAGCCACTCATAAATGTAAGTCGTAAAGTCAATGGAAGATGAGATAACACAGAATCTCACCATGAACCAAATCCAACTTTTGGAAGGAGAAAATTTTGTAGGATAACTTAAAAACTATTGGGTACCTGTATACAGAAACTGCCCCAACATCTTCACTTAGAATGATTGTCAATGTTTGTATCAGTTTTTCAGTAGGTAGAACCTCACTGTTTTTCCGTACTCCAACAATGTGTACAAAGTCGAAACATGCCTAAACAAAAGATGATAAGTTAGAAGGTCCTTTACTTGAACATGCATGAGATAATATAATGCATAAAGGTAAAAATTCACAACGAAGCCCACCCACCATGTGCAGATCATCATCCCCGTAGCACAAAAGACTGCAGATAGACAAAACACATGCTGCATCCAGAAGCCCTTCAACATATAATGTGCCTTCAGTCAAGCATTTACAAAGGAGCTTGATGGCTGAGGTGGCAAAGGGTAGCCATCTTTCTTTTCCTGTAAGATCAACTAATATTCCATCTCCACTGTCTGGCCTGTTACATAATGGAATATCATCCAGAAGGGCAGGCTCGCCACGACCTCTGGAAAAAGACTCGGCAAAGGATTTTAACAACAATCGGGCGGGTTCCTTTAATCCTCTCTCATTGTATATCGAGGCAGCATATAGAAGATCTATCAAGAAAGACAATATGATAATCAAAACATAGGCTTGTAAAGGCTGAGTGTTTCACATGAGAATCATAAAGTCTGATCCAAGAGACACACACACACACACAAGGGAAAAGTAAATAGAACTTCCATCACTCCATGAGAGTGAAAAATAATTCTTCTTGGTTGAAAGGAGGTCGATAGAGAACTTAGTAGATAATAAAAATCTGGAAATCGACATTGAACCTTCAATTAGGGACATAACATCCATGAAGAATTGGCGGTACACATCTCGATCGCCTGTGCGGAGCAAGGACAGCAGAGATCCAACAGTCTCAAAAATAACACCATTTCTGGACCTGAAGAAGCAATACAACAATACCCATACAATATAATCATACACAACTTTTTCAAAAATATTCTCCAAAATCAATCATCCTAACATTTTGGGGGAAAAACACAATAGCAAGAAAGCCATAAAACTGAAAAATATACACACCCAAAAATATACACAGCAGGAACACCATAGAACCTAAAAAAATAACACGTTTCTGAATGAGTAGAACTAAACAGTAGTTGGAAAGGATGGTAAAAAATCAATGATTAAGAACCTCAACTAATCGAAATTCAAAGGCTGAAAAAACATATAAATAAACACAGAACTCACAATACACGCATCCAAATTCAGAAGAACAAAACAGTGGAACCGAGTGACCAACCGAAATGCCGGTTCAGCAAAGAAGGGCAATATGCGGCCAATAACAGGGAGCACTGCGTTCGCCTTCCCGTGGTAGAAAACCCCCGGGAAATTCTTCGCCGTTTGCGCCAACAGCTTAAGCACCGCAATCACTTCCCTCTCTTTATCTGCAATAAATTGAAGTTCATATTAAACTTCAAACGTATTACATCAATCATCCTAGCTATGATCAGCAGAACAGAACTACAATCACATACTGGAAGATGAAGAAGGGACGAGGTAGGTCAGCAGAAGACTGGGAATGACGGCGCGAAATCGGGACTCCAAAACGTCGTCGTTTTTCTTGGTGAAGGAGGTCGACGAAGACGCCGCTATGCGCTCACGAAGTTCGTGCACCAGGCTGGAGAGGTTCGCCATTGTTGCTCTCTCATGTGTAGAGAGAGAAAGGGAGGAAGAGGAGAGAGAGTGTATGTGTGTGTGTGAAATAGTGTAATTGCTCTCCCTCCTATTTTTCGAATTTACAGAAAGGGAAATTGTCACTGTGTTGCGTTTTGTGTGTGTGGGCCCGTTTGTACAGTAGCCGGAAACTTTTTTTTTTTTTTTTTGTTATTTAATTTTACTTAGCATAATTTTTGTGCATTTACAATCTCTTATAATTAAACGAGTCTCGTTCGGATCGATTCAAACTCAACTTCGTATGGCTCGAGTTCGGCTCGGTTCATTTAATAAACGAGCCGTGCTCGAGCCCATTTAAAAATTCGTTTAATTAACGAGCCGAGTTCGCCTAGGTTCGATAAGGCACGAAAAGATAATCATTATATGATTTTTTATAGTTCGGCTCATTAAAGCTCAATATCGGCTTGTCAATACTTGAACTCGACTCGTTAGTGGTGATAAACGAGCCGAGCTAGAGCTCGATTTCAGACTCTTTTTTAACTCGAGCTCAGCTAAGCTTGTTTACATGCCTAAATTCGACTGAAATTATTATTTATGGTTTTCTTATTAATATTATCTCGTCTAAAAATAAAATTATAAAAATATTTTCATAAAAAAATAGAGAGATTTCAATTTTTCCATGAATATAAAAAGAAAAGTATAATAATCAAAATTATGTAATACAAAAATAATAAAATATTAATTGGTAAAATTGCTAGTCAGATACATTAAATATGTGAAAGAATGACTAATGTTTTTTAGAATGTGTATAATAATAATTATTTTCAAGTTATTATTATGTGTAATTTTTATTTTTTTTATTTATTTATTTTTTTTTTTACCTCATGTGCAAAAACTAGCAACTTTTTTGCTCTAGGTGGAGCGACTCCCCAAGCCTGAGAATTGCTGGTACAAAATCATTCAATCCTCCAACTACACTATATGGTATCTCTTGGAATGAATGTAAACAAACCCAGCAACTTATTGCTTTAGAAAAAATAAAATAAAATCTCTACTCAAGCAAAAAACCAACTGCTGCACAGCAGAAATAAACAAATGGAAAGAATTCATCTCCGTTGTGCCAGTCGTTTGATTTCCTGTTCTACTTCCCGATAACGGAGTCGAGCCGTTCAAATTTCAGTTGGCCGGGGGAGTGATCCACGCCGGAGGCATTCTGGTGGGATTGAGAGGCGGCATTTCACGTATGTTGACATCTACTGGATACAGGCGGTACTCAATATCGAGCTCTTTGAGAATCTTGACGAGTTCCTCCACCAAAACGGCTCGTCTCTTCCACTTCTCGCCCATATTCTGGTGGTTCATGCGGTGCCTCATCCACACCGAAAGCTTCAGTGTGCGCAAATCTTGCAATTCCATCACCACCACAGAAGGCTCCGGGTACCAGTGGTCACTTCTGTTCTCAATATAACTGAAAATAACCGTACACTTTGAATAAATAACAGAATGAAGATTACATAAGGTACTCCTAAGATTAAAGTCGGAATAATTTGTAAGCCTGAAGCATATGTTGCGGTATAAACAATATGATGTTTACGAGGGGTTTTCTGTAATTGGGTGAAACCTCAATCGGGTGAATGAGGGTTACGAAAGGAGATATTTACCTTGTTATCCTTTGCTTTATGGTGGCAATCTTCTCGGCTGGGGTCGCAATATGAACGGCAAACTCAATTGAATCGCCCATATCCGGGCTGCGGTAGTAGTTGCTGATGGGTCTTGTAGCAAGAGTCACATTGGGATAAATTATCTTCTGATTGTCATATCTCAAGAACACAGTTGTCAATATATTCATTTCTTCTACAATCATCTGTAAAATTCCCCAAAATAACAGTTTTTGTTGCATTATACAGATTGCGCAAGGAGATGGAAACTACAGTCCAATAAAAGATAAACCTCGACTAATCCAAACCAAACTTAGATGACAAAGTTTTTGAAATGAGGAAGAGAAGAGAAATGAGGAAATAACATATAAGCAGGTTAATTGCTTCTTTATACCTGGACTCCATCAACCTCACAACGGTCACCCACATCAAAAGGATGAATTACAAATACGAATATGATGGCTTCAAAGACAGTCTTGCACGAGTTTCCGAATATAAAAGCCACGATCACAATCTGTGAGCTGATGTAGAGCATAAATTTGCTCGTTGCAATTCCTAGGATGATCAGGCAAACGACTAAAATGATGATCGCGACTATGACGTTCACCATCCGATGAAGTTTGTCGACTGCCGTTTTTGTGTCATTCAGTGTTAGGGCGAGAGCTCTTCTTTCTATGAACGTGTTTACCTATGGATAAAGAGTAGAAACATGGCACAATTAAAATACTACCATTACATGATCCTGTTTATGATTTTTTAGAGAATTGCAAATGTACTAGATTAGATAAATATTTCTTACCACCCAGTTTTTTAAGGATGCTTTGCTAATTTTTTCGCCTTCAATTGATCCTTCGACAATGTTCAATGTTTTCAATGCCTCTTCCTCTTTCACGAAACGCATCAGATCCTCGAGGTGGATGAACCTGCCACCATCAAAAAGACATTTCGAAAATTATCGATCTTAAAGCGGCATCATCTAAGAAGTTATCATACTTTATGTAACCAAATTGGATAATCGACATGTGATTGATAGGAAATATATTATTTGAATCAACGGATAGGGGCTTCACAAATGAATAGAAAAGGGAAAACACTGGAAAGAAAATTCGGAAGACACACTCAAACATTCAGCCCAGGCGAACCTAATTGTACAGATCTTGATTAATTCACCAAAAGCAAGATTATATACATCACGAGTAACACTCGCATTTCTCTCCATTCTCAAAATCCTATTCAATCAACATTGATGAATACAAGTGTATCAGTAAGCACAAAATATGTTGCACAAGAGAGAAACAAAAACTTACTTGGCCCTAGGCCTCGCCACATTTCGGAAAATGTTCCTGGCAGCCGCTTTGGCCTCACGTTCGCTCCTAATCTGCATAGCTGTCTCGTCCCCTTGTGAGCTACCCAAAGCACGCTCGTCGAGTGTGATCAAAACCCCATTCTTGACAAACTTAATCAATCTCTTCATGCTCCAAGCAGATACATTCTTGTGGTTCAGATTCTGCAGCTTGTCAATTGATATACCGGCGCCCTGCTCGTTCAGATCATTCTTAGTAAGCTGCCCGGAAACTCCGAAACTCAATCCTCTTGCCAGCCTCGGCGGCAGCCCTCCACCACCACCAACCGCCTTTCCGCTCTTCACTGCCTGAAAAGGCGGGCACCTCAGGTCAGCGGGCAATGTAGCCCCTGCATTCTGAAGCCGGCATACCTCAGCCATAGTCCTCTCCTCCTCCTCTTGGTGGTTCCTCATCTCAATCAGAGGCGGACCGGAAAGGGTCTCGATTATGTACTGATTGAACAGAGTCTCCTGGATACGGTCGAAGAACGTGCTGACGTGGAAAGACGAAGCGAGAACTTTGACCATAAGTGTCTTGACCAGCCAAAGCAGAGTCCCGACCAGCATGCAAACCATTATTTTGTTCACATATTGCAGGAATTTGTTACTTCCTTCGACCTCATGGTCGAACATGTAATGCCAGGCGATCAAGACGAGCCCCAACCAGATACAGTTCTGGACAGCCTTTCTCACCCCATACACAAAGTACAACACCCTTTTCCTCATGAAGAAGTTCCTCTCGATAAAGAAGACGACAATTCGTATCCCCCAGCCGGAGACCAACCTCCCACAGATCAAAACCAGAACCAAAACCTCCCATTTCCAGATACTCAGTCCCCTGAGCTTCTTCCTCTTCAGCTCAGAGATAGCAAGAGTTGATGCTAAAGCCGCCACAATCAGAATGAGGCTAATCCACTGTAAAATAGTCAGTGCATCGAACTTACCCTTCTTGAAGTCGTCCGGGAGATCCTCGTCGAATAGCGGGTCATCCTCTTCTTCGTCCACAGGTTTCCCCAATACGGCGGAATTTCTACCCGGCATCCCGGACCTCAGCTGACCAGATTTGGGGATTAAACCGGATCTGCGATCCACGACCTCAGGCGGGTCAATCAGCCGAGACCTGGTCTTCATCCTGCCCAAATTACTCACCCTTCTCTGAATCGACGTGCATTTCAACACCTGACCATCAGTATTCCCGCTAAGGCCACCATTGTTGTTTGTGTCCACATTCGAGGAACGCCGCCTGAGCGTTCGATTCACATCCTCGTCCGATGAGGATTCGATATTGTCTGGTTCGTCGGGACGAATATCGACCACGTTGCTAGCACCGGCGCTGGGAACCTCCATTGTCGTTTTCAGCTCGCTAGGGTTCCGGAAACTGTGATTATTTGCGGTGGGGCCGTAATAATTGGGGTTCGCAGGTGGGAGGCTGCTTTGAGGGCCAGTGTTGCTGCCGCCGCCGCCGCCGCCGCCGCGATTGAGGTGGAGATCATCCATCTCCATATCCATGTCGAGGCGCAATTCTCCGCCTCCGACGTTCTGCTGGTTGAGGAAAACTCCGATCAGTTTCGACGGCGGGGAACGGGATTTGCGCGAATCGAAACCCTCGGGTTGCATGGGCGCGCGGGGCTCATCGCCCCAGATATCAAGGCTCGATTCGCGGTAGTGGACGCCGTTCCTGTTGTGGACGGGAGAGGGATCGTCACCGTCGTCGACCTTGACGATGACCTCGGAAGGTCCGGAGACAGAATCAATGTGGGATGCGGCGCCGGCGCCGGTGGCAGAGGAGGAGGAAGAGTCGCGGTTGTGATCGGAGAGGATGGGCTGCTGCTCGTGGATGGCGTCCTCCTCCGATGATCGGCCTATGGAGATTTTTCTGCCATGCTTGTAGGAACTGCTGGATTTGAAGGACTTTTTGCATGCAGATGAGAAGTCCATGAATGATTGTTTGATAAGGAAAAAAAAAAAA